CCATCCATTAAAACAATTACAGGTCTTTGGGACTTCAGAGTGGGTGATTATTCGGTTTTTCCCCAGAGACATCAAGAATCAGTTTATTAAATGAAGTCCCAATAAGGCAGCCAAACTGGGGAGGCAGTAATGACATTAAGGCTGTTTTTCATCCAAGGGACCAGCCTTTGTTCCACAAATGCAAAATCTATATGGATAAAATTTGGGGTGTGTGTGTGTTATTTTCACAGAGACCCCCGGGAAGTGAATGCAGTAGCATCTTTAAACAGATTTAATCACAAATCAATTGTCCGAGTTAATATCAAAAGGTGGTCCAGAAATATTTGTTAATGAAGGAATGCCACAATGATAAGAGAGGGTTATTACTGAAATGTCAGATAAATGATCCCAGATGACATAAACATATTAGTCAGGGAAAGAAGCAAATTGTTTATTTCACAATAGCTTTTGTGATCTTCTTTTTTGATTATTAGAGATATTTAATTGTTCAGAACTCACCCAAGTAATCAATTGATTTAACGTACGTGTGGGGAAAATCTTTTTAAGGGGCCCCAGCCCCATATTTTCATTAATCTTCTGTAGTTCAAGTCTGTGGCAGGAAGAGATTCACTAAATTGTAATAAAAATCAGATTTTTTTGTAAAAAAAAAATCAAGCTTTTTTGTTCAGTAAACTGGAGCACTCGGCTAGTTTACCAGAAGATTTGTCTAACCAACTAGTAATCCAAACCTTCTTCTTACACCTTGCAGAGTTTTAATTACAAGTGGTCAGGGTTAGGGTAGAGGAGGGGGGGGGGGGAAGAGATTTTCTTCTTGTGCTAAGAAAAAGGAAATGATAGATAACAGCATTTCCATAGCTGATATTATTGTGAGGTTGTTTAGAGGCAAAGCTTTAATGAGAATAGACCAGATGTTTGGCTGCAAAGGGTCCCATATTCTGATTTGTGGCTTCTCCTGATGGGGCTTGGAAAGAGTTTCCACGTGGTACTACAGAAAATATCAAGGTAGTTATACTGTAGAAGGCTGTGCAGTCCTTGGTGCTGAGTTTGGTTGTGTTCTTGGGGACATTTCATTACCCAACTATGTAACTTCATCAGTGCAGGGAGTGAGTTTGCTCTCTTTATATACTAGTGGCTTGCTGTGTCATGTTAGTGGGTGGGGTTCTTGGTGGTTTCTTGATTAGACTCTTGTTATTTGATTGATTGAGTTAGTACTTCCTAGATTGGGATATTGTTTTCTGCTTGATTGTTGTTCTGGTATTAATCTTGGTGTTCATCTCTGCTTATCTGGCTATTGGTTGCTAGGGAGGGCATTGTTTTGGTCTTTTTGTTTCCTTTTCAGTTTTAAGATTGTGTCTTTTGAATGGTGTGTAGATGTTGTTTATCTCTGTGTGCAAAACGTAGCAGAAAATGGTGCCATCCAAAAAGAACAAGGCACTGATGGCATACTTTTAGCTGCCACCTTGACTTTTTTGACCCCCACAGATGCCTGTGACCCAAGCATTTGTTCCACATAGCTGAGAAAACTCGAGTTTATCTTAAAAAGCCTTTTTTTGAATGGCTCCCTTAGCTTTCAAATTCAATCCTAGCAAGCAGAAACCCACTGGGAGTGATGGAAAAGATTTGTTTTGTTCTCTAAAATGGGAATCAGGAAACACAAAATGCTTTTTTAACTCCTAAACTGAATCTTTTGCAAAGCAGATGATGAGGCTGGCGGGTGGGTTGCAAATGCAGCAAAGATGCTGGCTTTGTATCTGAACAAATGGCTGACATTCACGGAACATGAAAAGCATTTTCTGAGACCCCATGAAGTGCTTTTAGGTGGCCAACAGCAGAAAGATTACACCTGTCACCTGTAGTTTGGGAGAGAGACTGAATATTTCAGTTTACATCTTCTCTGCATCAGAGAAAACTTCAGGCTCGTAACTTTCCTGCCAGAACATAAAGTACTCAGAACATTTCTCATCCTTTATGGGAGACATGATTTGAACCTGAATTATTTACACTCGCTGAAACCGATCTTACCTGAGGACATGGAGCTGACCTGCTTTTATTTCTCTCCTTGCAGCGAACAGTTAATTTCACCTCTGTGACTCCTGCAAAACGCTCACTTAAAGAAAAGGGGTCCAGTCCAGAGCTAACAGCCCTAACTTGTTCATTGTCTAGGTGGTTCTTTTGGGTGAGAAAAACTGAAAATTGGTTTGTTTTTCTTGTAGCGAGGAAAGCCATCACTCCTTTTCAGAACTGGTTTTAGCCAATTACAGCAGTACATTTGAAACTCACTGAATTTGGTACTCAACGCATTTTGATGTGGAAATTTTGTCCCGATATTCATCATTTGTTTGATACTCAATGCACAAGATATAGAATTTGTAGGTGTCAGTGACTCACTACATTATTTCTTATGGGAAAATTTTGTTTGTTTGGTAATCACCATTTCTGGTACACATCATCACTTCCAGAACCAATTAATGATGAGTACCAAGGTATCACTGTAACTACTTTGGTTTTGATCTACTTATTGGCTTATTTCCTTTCCCGTTTCTCTATTCCAAATAGTACACCTTCTCAGGATGTGAGATTTTTGCCACTACTTCTGTCTTACCTTTTGCTGAAAACGTGAACAGAGATTGGGGATGTTTTTTTTTAAATATTTAACGCTCACAATACAAGGATGCAGGGTCGTCTGTTGAAATTAAATGGGGAAAGACTTAGGACGGGCAACACAAAGTTTGATACCCACTGGAAGAAGGTAGTTGATAGAAAATGACATTAATGGATCTACATAATCGCCAGGAGTTCAGCTGAACTTGAAAATGACTTTAGAGATGATTAAAGTGTAGAATTTGCTGCCTTCAGGTGTCATGGTGAAAACCATGGTCCTCAAAAAGGTTCTAGACCATAGTTTCTCAACCTTGACAGCTTGAAGTTGGGTGGACTTCAACTCCCAGAATTGAAGGTCAGAGTTTCTCAACCATGAGAACTTGAAGATGGGTGGACTTCAACTCCCAGAATTGAAGGTCAGAGTTTCTCAACCTAGCTGGCGGGGGAATTCTGGGCGTTGAAGTCCACCCAACTTCAAGCTGTCAAGGTTGAGAAACTCTGATCTAGACAATTTCTAGAGAGGCTTTCTGTTCTGTTGAATTTCAGACAGCATCCCTTAAATACCAGCTCTTGCAGGAACAACACTGATTTTTTTTTAAAGAGCCCCAAACACATCTGGATGGCTGCTGCACGGGCCTGAACCACGGTGGAGGAGCTAAGCTTGTGCAGATAGCCCTTCCTTCTTTACTTCCGCAGCATTTTTGGATCCATGGCATCTGCGGCGTGGGCTTGCCATGGAGATACCTCCAGCTGGGGATCACTCCTGGCCACTCCTGTCACAACGGGTCACCAACGCTGCAGGCAGCCACATCTCCGTGGGGTTTTGGTAGAAGCCAGCGACGGATGAAGGAGACAAAACGCATCGAGCCTCACGTAGCTGACAAGCCTCGCAGGGTTCCCCTGACCCCCACAAGCTTCCCTTGAGCTACACCGGGGCTCCGTTCTAAACTCAGACATTAGCGGAGAAGCCGCCCTAGGACTGCAAGGCGTTTAAAGATCAACAGAGGCCAAAAACAAACAAACAAACAAAAGCTTTTTAAAAGCCAGCGGAACCAAGAGGGCAGCCAAGCTTGCTCCCTTTCAGTGTCAGGTTAGATTGCCATCTCCAAGAGCTTCATCCATTCAGGTACCGAGCACTCCACACGGCTTGAGTGCTGCGTACCCAGAAAACATCTGTTTCTTTCACCTACAAACCACAATGGGTTGTGAAGAAGGCTGGGCTGTAGCCACAGAGACCCAGGGGGGGCTTGAGAGATTCCCACTGAAAAGGATCGAGCGAGGCCCGACTTCTCCCCTCCCTCCTGAAATGGTTTTTTTTTTTTTTAAATGCACATAAAAGATGCTTTTAAGGCGTTCAGCACGCCATAAAGCCAGCAGATCAAGTTGCATACCCAAGCTGGGTGTTCCTGCCCACATGCGCTTTCTCACCGGATTATTTTTGCTACTTCTAACCTCTCCCCCTTTTTCCCCCCCTCCCCATCACGTTAGGGCCACGACGTGGGTTGACTTCTGCCATTTCCGTTGCTGGTTAATTTTAGCCTTCTCCCAATTTCTCCAGTATCAAAATAGGGTGTGGGGTTTTGTTTTTGGTTTTCTGTTTTGTTTTTTAACCAAAATCTGGAGGGGCAATTGGCTTCATCCCTCCCATACGTTCTGCCAGGCGGCTGGCATTTTCGTCTTCAGTATGCACGGGTTGCTATCTGGCCAGAAACTCTGTGAAGGAGGTATTTAGAAAAGCGTGGAAGGGGGGGGGAAAAATATCGAGAATTTACCCCCTTAGCAAATTACATCATTGTGACCTCTGATGACAGCGAGGGATAGTTGATCAGAAGATAAGGCCACCAGGAGTCACCCTGCAGGGGAGATGAGTAGCCTAAAATTTTAATTAATCAATTAATAAGGATGCTTTACTAAGGTTTGATTCCTTACTCCTAACTAAGAAGGGAAGGCCCCAAAATACAGTGAAATAAGTATGATGAAAAAGCTTAAGAGACTTAACGCTGTATGACTTACTTGCATTTTTGAACCTTTTTTTTAAGCGCGTGTCTTTCTTGAGTAGGTGAAAAACATAATTCTGGAGATTCTTAAAAGTTAGCAGGAGCTCTCAAGAGCATCAAGTGTCCATCAGTGTCGTAGCTGGATACATGAGCTGGGAATTTTTTCTGTAATAGGCATTTTACAACATTGGGGGGGGGGGGGTGTTTTCCCCCCCATTTAAAATAGCTCCAAACACTCTTTCAGAAAACACATGTTCCCTCCTTTGTATAAAATAAGATATTGATTCAGTGTCTTCTGAACTCTGGAACCCTGTCTTGCAAGTCTTGACACACACACACACACACACACACCCCATCTACGGTTGGAGTTTCCCGTGAATGATTCCCGTTTTGCCTTTCTAGAGACCGTGGTGAAAGACGACATGAACAACTACATCAGTCAATACTACAATGAGCCGAGCAGTGGTAAGCTTGGATTTGGAAGCTTAAGAGGAGTCCCTAGGGAAGGGGGGGCCATGCCCAGAAGCGACCTGATGCCCCCTTCTTAGCTCCCTCCTGAATTTCAGGAAGAGACCGTCCGTCCTTCTGTCACGGCGGCAAACTTCCTCCTCCCTTTGGGAACATTATCTAGCCTATTAATGGGAGGGAGGAGAAAAAGGGAAGGAAAGGGAGGGAAGGAAGGAGGGAGGGAAAGGAGGAGAAAAAGGGAGGAAAGGAGCGGAGGGAGGGAGGGAGGGAGGGGAAAAGGGAAGGAAGGAGGGAGGGAAAGGAGGAGAAAAG